TCCCTTCGTTTCATCCATTTCATTCCCTATACCCACGTTGTTATACGTATGTCGTAAAAACGTAGTTTCTAAAGGTATTATCGATCAGCGTTTCAAACGGGCTAATAATCGAACAAAATTATAGCTACTTTTGGTGTTTATTTATTATAAGGTATGGTAGGATTATTGGATCGCAAATGGATTTGTGTCTCTCTCTTTCTCTCTTGAGATTGAGATATCGAGGGAAATAATAAAGTTATTATTTCCGTTGATAAAATTGAGAGTTTATTCTCCTTTATATATTTAAGCTCCATTTGTGACGGGGAACTCGAAACTCTCTATTTGTTTTCGGGATCGCGTAATAAATTTTTATCTATCTTTTCGATATTTTATCGGAATTTATTATTGGTTCCGAAACTTAAAGCATAATTATAAAAAATTTCGAAGTAAGTGCGATTCATTTGACTCGAAGGGAAAAGTTCTCCCTCCCTCCCCGTCCAATAGCTTTGTAAATTAAGTGCAATAGAGCAACCAGTATTTTTCTCCCTCTTAAAATCTATGGACCCGTTACCGCATGCGCGATAAACTTGGAAAGGAACGCTATTTTTTTTTTTTTTTTTTTCGACCAAAGGACGAGTTTTTCTTCCCCAGCTTTTTTTTAAATTCAAAACCACTGTGTGTACTACTATTCTTTCGTTGAATCGTAAATCCATGGTTTCCTGAAACCGCGATTATAAAATTCCAAAGAAACTCGTCACTCGGTTCGATCAAAGGATAACTCTTTTCATTCGTTCATTCATGACGAACATTCGTGAAATTAAATCCGCCTCGTTTCTATATCTGTCTCACCTATTCGAAATTGAAATTTTCAATTCAACTCTTTTTCTCAATCCAATTATATCATTTCGTATAATTACCTTTCTGGATCTCCGTTTTTCGAATAAAGAAACACGCTCTGTTCCCAATCTATTTCCAAACATCGATCCAAGTATATACATATATACACACATGATAAAATTCTATTTTGGCCTCGATCATCAGGAAAAGGATGATGCGCAACGATCGAAATTTAGCCGGGAAATCAGTCAGCGTGAGAAGGTGTTTTCTCCCTAGGAAAAATCTATCCATCGGTGTGTTCCGGTTGAAATATTATTACACGGCTCGTGTACACGAAACTCGGGACGTCACGTATAATTGAGTTTCTAATCTCCCGCTATTAATCCTAGCCCACCGGAAGGCATGTAGCTGAAATCGGTCGGTTGACGGAAATAAATCACCGACGTTACATCACCATCACCGTCTCCCTATAATTTTACTCTCCACTTATCGTACGTCTCAATATTGAGCCCTGAGCATAAAACATTCGGGATCCTTCTCTTCCTCCTCCCCTTTTTTTTTTTCTTTCTTCTCCTTTTGCCTCTCCTTTTTCGTTCGAAGAAATTCGAATGGGGGATGGGCGGCGATCGTTAACTTTGGACGACGTGGTAGAAAATATGGGTTAGACTTTCGTAACGAGAAGTTAGTGGATACTTGGAAATTTTAGACTATATATTGCGTAATCGTTTGCCTATATGTAGATAATTACACATTAAGAGAATTATATTAAAAATTGATTATAACTTTTCAAATTTTAATTATAAAAGATTGATATTGAATAATTAATATTGTTTCACGTATTTTTTTTTTAACAAAATCAAATATTTTATCGACTTTTATATTTTTCTCAAGAACAATAAATATATATATTACGCTTATTCACGTAACATCGCTTCGATCGCGATAAACAAATCGTTCACTCCGTTTCGCAATGAGCCCTCCCATCGTATCGCATTACAAATTGCGAATCTTACAAAAAACTTGTAGATTTCGAAAAAAAATTCGGGAACAAAAGAACGAAGAAGAAATTCGGGAAATTGGTTGGAACAATCGAACGAAAGACGAATCGTTGGAAAGCGGAGGTAAACGTTTCAAGTGATATTTTACTTTGGGAGAGGAGGGGGGGGGGGGAAAGCGTTGGTTACAAGAGTGTTTCATGCTGGTTCCGCGTTTTGCGACCCGTTTGCTCGCGCGTACACGTTACGCCCGTTTACGACTATTAATCACCGTGCGAATCGAAGCGAGCTACGCACAACCGTCATTCAACCTTTCAACCGATTTTCACTTGGATGAATATCGCTTTGGGCTTCGCGCGCCATTCGATGTTTCCTGACATTCACAGAGAAGGGCGAGCCGAAAATATCCGAGGCAATATATCCGAGAAATTCAATTCTCTTCGTAGCCGTTAAAGGGGGCGCGATAATAATGTTTATTGGATTAAAAAATATCGATCGAATAGCGGAGGGAATGTTTTTTATTTTTTTTTTTTTTTTTTTATCGTGCGAATATTATCGATTTCCATCTACTCGAGGAATTGAATGGAAACAAAATTTTTTGAAACATCGAAATACGCGAATCGTTCAAGGATTGATGATCGATCGAGCAAAAACTAGGAGAGGAAATTATGCAATTATTTAAGGATGAAGATTTAAAAATAAATCGGCCTATTAAGCGAGCAGACGTCGATTCTTTTTCCATCAAAGCAAAGGTTCTAAGC